TGTCTCATCTCTGTATCTTCGAACTTCACAATGTAACAATATAGCAAAAACATGCTTCTTTATTGTCTCATCTCTGTATCTTCGAACTTCACAATGTAACAATATAGCAAAAACATGCTTCTTTATTGTCTCATCTCTGTATCTTCGAACTTCACAATGTAACAATATAGCAAAAACTTGCTTCTTTATTGTTGTCTTATCTCTGCATCTTCGAACTTCACAATATAACAATATAACAAACCGCGCTTCCTTTATTGTCTCATCTCTATATATTTGAACTTCACAATGTAACTCTATAGAAAATATGCTTCTTCATTGCTTTATCCATGTAAATACGAATTTCACAATGTAACATCATATAAAGATAAGTCTGTTTACTGTTTTATCATTGTAACATGTTTGTTTATTGTTTTATACCTGTAACTACCAACTTCACAAATTAACAATATACTAACAACATTCTTTTTATTGTTTTATCCCTGTAACTACAAGCTTCACAATGTAACACTATAGGAAACAACGTAACTATTTATTGTTTTATCTCTGTAAATACCAATTTTACAATGTAATATCATATAAAAAATAAGTTTATTTATTGTTTTATCATTGTAACATGTTTCTTTATTTTTTTATACCTGTAACTACCAACTTCATGATGTAACACAGTAGAAAAAATAAGTTGATTTATTGTTTTATTATTGTAGCATGTTTATTTATTGTTTTATACCTGTAACTACCAACTTATCATTGCAACTCTATAGAAAAAACATGTTTCTTTATTGTCTTGCTCTTGTAACTTCAGACTTGGCAATGTAACACTATAGAAAATATGCTACTGTGTTGTTACACTTCCGTAACTACCAACTTCACAAATTAACAGTATACTAAAAACATGCTTTTTTATTGTTGTATCCCTGTAACTACCAATTTCACAATGTAACACTATAGAAAAAAACATGCTACTTTATTGTTTTATCCCTGTTATATCTAATTTAACAATATAACTATACAGAAAAACAAAATGTTGTGATATATTTTTACCACTATTGTTTAAAATATGTAACGTTTGATCTTTAGCCTGTGTTGAATGTTTTAGTTATAAAGTTCCAAAATAAGATTACGTTATTATATAACAGTTTATACGGCCTTCTCTCTCTATACTTTACTAAGAACGCGATGCAAAGTCAATAAACAATTCCAATGATTGCGTTGTTTCGCGTAATCTAGGAATATGTTCCTTTGTTGTTATTTATTGCTCCGTGTTTGAATTAATGTAGTTTAATTCTTTGTACCACATATCGGGTGTGTGGTAAAGGTAATGAAAATGAGTAAGAGACATTCCAGCGGAGCACGTTTACAATATTTGGTTATCCTCGCTACATATTTCCTTCTATATGACGTCACTGAAACGTCTTAGCTAGAAATTCCTTAACGCTCCAATGAAAACAATTTTTGACATGAAACAGCTGTTTTCCTCCTAACGACAACATGTTTACGTCACACGTAATAGGTATTTTAGTACGAAAATATAACACTGATATTGCTGAAACTTTATATTCAAGTACTAGGAGTAGTTAAATAATGAATAAAATTAATTTCATTTCAGTTTTAAGGACGCAGCTAAAGCACTATCAAAGCATTATCTAATGAAAACGGGAACTTCTGTAGCCATTGTATTTTATACTTAGTTATTGTTCCATTATTAAAATATGAAAAGTATTGACAAGCCGTTAAATTCTTATACTTAGCAGATTGTAAAGAATAACATTATTTAAAAAATGACGTTATTGAAAAGACTAACATTGTTTGAAACGATAACATTATTGGAAAAGATAGTTATTTCAAATATTTGCAAACACGTCTTAGTAAGGAACTTAACAGTAGAGTAAAATAAATCATTTATTTTTTCATAAAATGAAGTGAGAATTATTTTCTCCAACTATTACAATTTAGATGATATCTATTTCTAAGTGTGGATCTGGCACTGTTTAGAAGCAAATTAAACAAATTAACAAACAAAACTTCAATTTAGAATAAGCATATATTAGCTGAAAATATAAATTCAGTAATGAAAAAATACAGAAATGCAAACAATAAATTAAATAGCTGCTCTTAAATTTCATTCTTCAACACGTGACGTTTCGGATATACATCAGAAGCTATACCAATTTTTCAAAATGCTCAGTAGTTAATAGAAACAATTTTTCTTTACAAGAAACAATAAATACATGAAGGAATTTAATAAATAAAATTAATTTTTACTAACATTAAGACAAGAAACAATACTGAAATGACTCTACAATATTTGTTAAATACATAAATAACATGTTAAGCAGAACGCTTATTTCTTAGCTATAAAAAAGTGGAATGAAGTTTCTGAACAGTTAGATCTATTTATCTATAAATATGGTAATTTTTCATTCCAAAACTAATTAATGCCAGCTACTAATTCATAAAGTGCACTTTTCTAAGCAAAACTGGCTCTACCCTACCTTCTACTTACTATAATTGTCTAGACTTATTAGGTCTCGCACCAAAAAGCACCAATCTAACAGTGAAAATAATCTCAGAAGATTATTTTGATTTACAACTTTATTTATATGAAAACAGCATCCCAGAGTAAAATAAATGTTAAGTACTCTACAGAATCTATGAAACCTTGAACACGATAACATATTGATGGCGTTGCTCGGTACTCTAGTCCGATTGGCAGTACACCTAAGTAGCATTAAACCAGCAAAAAGTTGGTTTTTATCTTTATCTGATAAAACTGTCTCTACTCTCAGGGTCATACTGGTTGTCCGGTAGCTTTGTAAGTCTGGTTAGCCAAAGCATTCTGCGCCCCCTCTTGTGGAGTAGAAGTTGAAGACCAAACACGAAATATTTCTTGATTTTCTTTCCGTACTATAAATGAGAAAATAGAAAGAAAAACACTAAACGTACTTTTATATACAAAATACAACAACATCAAATGATTAGACACCTAAAATCGTATCTTACTAAATATCGACACAGAAAATAGGTATTTGTGAAGTAAAAATTGTGCTAAAGAACGAAACAGAAGCTATGTGTCGGTAAAACAGTAACTTGTGCTAAAGACCGAGACAAAAGATATGTGTATGTAAAACAGTAACTTGCGCTAGAGAACAAGACAGAAAATATTTGTTGTAAAACAGTAACTTGTGCTCAAAAAATGGGTATAAAAAGGGAAATACTAGGGAAATGCCACCCTTTTATCATTTGAAAATGAAATGCAACATTATAGTCATTTGTTGACTGTTTACACTTGATTGGTTGTTATCCAGCTAATCAGAAAATGCCACACCAGTATAAAGCTTATTAAAGTACAAAAAGATATAATAGGTCCAGTAACACTAATGTGAATGCAGTCATGGCTCCCACGACTGAAATACTGTGTGATGATCATGAAGAAATCAAAGATTTGACTGGCACAGTTAACAGCAGAAGTGATTGAGCATGTGCGCCAGTGCACGTCCGGCAGACCGGGCAGCAACTGGACCAACATTTTGTCACAGTAACTGTAGGACATGCTTTGCACACTATTCTGAGTTGCCTGATCAATCCAAATTGCTTCCTCCACCCCTGTTTAGGTAGAAACCCAAAGCTCTCCAAAAGTGAATTAAGTATGTAATTTACGAGAGTACAAACATTGGCAACGAATGTGAGCGTTACGTCGAAACAGTACGATACACATATATTCAAAAACCGTTGTAAGTAGAAGTAACTAATCCAAAAGGCTGAAATGGATACTAGCCATGAACTTTGGAATGATCAAAACTAAGAGAATTACTCTTCATAGGTAACTCCAGTGAAACATTGTTCGAATTGTTTGGCAACAGAGACAGTTGGTTTCTACATTGTAAGGGTAGAAGTTAGAGCTGGTACGGAATCGAAAATCTACAAATATAATTGATGACACTCTGACTGTTGAAAATTACAGAAAAATTCTGATCTAGCATGCCATTCCCTCAGGAATACGAGTCTTCGAGCAGGGATTCATCTTCCAGAAAGGCGATTATCTGAAGCATAAAGGAATTGAAACTAATTAAGTGCATTATTTTTCAAGTTATAATTATCAACTCCGTATATTTTTCGAAAATTCGCAACTCAGTATGAAGTGTTTTGTTTAGGCAGCGTAGATTGGATTCGATTTCAAGTGTTTATAGAATGCAACTGCCTGGAATCGACGATGTTTCCTTCTCCGTGTGAAGACCTCATCCTAAATACTTATTCCATAAAATCTCAAACTGAGTAAGTAGTTTGTTAAGATAGAGCCACCAGTGCTCAACCTATAGAACTTGAAAGTGGTTAAGGAGTTTGTTGAGATTGAACCGTCAGTATTCAGCCTAAGCATTCAGTCTATGAAGCTTCAAACTGAATGAGGAGTTTGTTAAGATAAAGTCAACAGCTTTCGGCTTAAAGATTCAGTCTACGAAGCCACAAACCGAGTAAGGAGTTTGTTGCGATTGAACCGTCAGTGTTAAGCCTTAACATCCATTCTATGAAACCTCAAACTGAGTAAGGTGTTTGTTAAGATTGAGCCAACAACGTTAAGCCTTAACATTCATTCTATGAAACCTCAAACTGAGTAAGGTGTTTGTTAAGATTGAGCCAACAACGTTAAGCCTTAACATTCATTCTATAAAACCTCAAACTGAGTAAGGTGTTTGTTAAGATTGAGCCAACAACGTTCAGCCTTAACATTCAGTCTATG